CTGTAACTATATGGAATACGAACTTACCCACAGATCCCAAGCATGCCTACCTGGGTTCATAGCATTGAAGCTATCTACTGGGCATTCTGTTGACGATCGGAGTAGATAACCTACCTTGGTATCCTTATCCTTATCCTTATCCTTACGAAGTACATGGCCTCGGAAAACAAGAAATTCTCGGACGTAGGTACGAATAGTTAGTCGTCCCGCGTATAAATAACTTCGGTGGATATGTAGGTGCATACCTAGGTCCTAGGTAAATACTATCCATGCATTCATCCATCCTTGTTTCATATTCGCAAGATGGAGCGATTTCCATATCAAGAAATTGAAAATTCAGCCGCCTGACAGCCAGGTAGGTAGGTAGGTATCTCGGAAAGATAATGGATATGGAGATAGTATGGCTGGTGTACATACATACTACTAACTCCAGCCCCTTTACCGTCGTCAGCCAACCCCCTTTCTTAGGAAAGCTGAAAAGGCATGTAATTACTTACTACATACCTAGTAGGTATTGTATTGTACAAACTGACTGCCAAACCATTGAGAAGAGCAGAGAACATATCATGAATTGCTGACCACTGCCACCGCCACCACACGCCGCCACGATAAACTTCTTCCCTTACCTCTTTACTTGCTTAATTCCTCCCATCCTTATTATCCTCCCATTATTCCTAGCCTCCGAACCCCCCCCCCCTCCTTTTTTTTTCTTGTTTTTTACTTTTTTTTTATTTTTATTCCAAGGTTTCCTCGTTTCGATGATGTTCAGCCTCCTTTAGGCATTCTCACCCACCTCCAACCTTCCAACTCCCCCCCCCCCCCCCCCCCCCCCCCCCCCCCCCCCCCCCCCCCCCCCCCCCCCCCCCCCCCCCCCCCCCCCCCCCCCCCCCCCCCCCCCCCCCCCCCCCCCCCCCCCCCCCCCCCCCCCCCCCCCCCCCCCCCCCCCCCCCCCCCCCCCCCCCCCCCCCCCCCCCCCCCCCCCCCCCCCCCCCCCCCCCCCCCCCCACCCCCCCCCCCCCACCCCCCCCCCCCCCCCCCCCCCCCCCCCCCCCCCCCCCCCAACCTACCTAACCTAGGTAAGTAACTTTGAATTTTTTTTCTTTTTCTTTTTTTTTTTTTTTTTTCAAATCCACGCAGGATGATCAACCCCCTTCCCAGCACCAACGCCACTACCAACCCTGCTCCCGGCTCCAGCACTACCAGCAGCGCTATTCCTGTTACTACTACCGCTCCCCGAGCCTTCCTCCATCCCCGCAAGCACGTTCCAGCGCATGATGTCGTCGCCCTCGAAGGCTAGGTGGCTGATGCGGTAGGCTTGGGTAGATGAGTGGCGTAGTGGGGCGGGGGCGGTGGAGGAGGAGGAGGGGGAGGGGGAGGGGATTTAGGGGATTTGGGTGATTTGGGTGGTTGAGGTGCTGGCACTGCTACTGCTACGCCTATTGCTGCCGAGTCTACTACCTTTGCCTTTGCCTTTGCTTTTGCCTTTGACTCTGCCTTTGTTTCGGTCTCTGCTTTTACCGGTGTCTGTGTCTGGGGTTGGGATGGTGTCTTCTCCCCCTTTGCCTGTGCCTGTGCCTGTGATTGCGAAGTAGAAGGCGAATGCGTCGTCGACGTCATCCTGCCCGCGGACCCGTACCGCTGCCGGCGGTACTTCCGGATGCGCTCGAGGTCCGCGGTCATCGCCGCCGAGGTCGCGGCAGCCGCGTTGCGGAGCTCTTGTCTGGGAGCGTCGCCTTGGAGGTCCGCTGGTAGTTCTGGTGGGTGGGTTTGTGATTGCTTTTGCTTTTGCTCTTGTTGTTGCTGGTGATGGAGCCGGAGGAGGCGGTGATGGTCGTTGTCTTCCGTTGCTATGCGCATGCTGCTTATTCTTCGCCAGTCACTGGCTTTTCCCTTGCCGTTTCCGTTTCCGTGACCGCCCCTGTCATTGTGGTTGTTGTTAGTATCCGGTGTGTCGTCCAGGGCTATGTCCTCCATGCTGCCGTTGTTGCAGGCGAACAGGCGATAATCGATATCAGCGGAACCGAATGAGCCGGGTTTGTATCTTCGTGTGGAAGTCGAGGTCGAGGCGGAGGGGCCAGCCGTGCTTGCGCCCGCAGCAGCAGCGCTGTTGCTTCTTCTTGTGCTCGCACTGGCGGCACTCACGATTTCGGTTTTCGGTCTCGGGCTCGGGCTCGCCGAAGATGTGCTCGTACTGGGAGGAGCTGGTGGTGTTGAGTGGGAGAGAGATGGTGAATTTTTTCTGGCTCCGTCGCGAGGACAGGGCGGAGGATAGGGGTGAGGTCATGGAGGCCGAGTGGGGCCGGCGCGAGGAGCGCTTATCGGATGGGGTGTTAGAAGAGGCGGACGGGGAGGCCGTGGGAGCCGATTCGATGGCGCTGGAGTTGTCGCGAGCTGTTACCCAGTAGATGACTAATGTAGAGAATAAGACTGGTAGTGAAAACGATTAGATTGGTTATGAGTTGTTTGTTCATTTGAGGTAGGTAGGGGGTAAAGGAATGGAGCAAGATCAGTATTCGGAGTGACCATCTAGTATATACGTACTATCCGCGTTACAACACGTGAGGAATATCCATCCGGGTTCGCCTTGGAGTGCCATGAGAACCGAAAAGTTTCTAGAGGGAAATTATCGTCTTAGCTCATATACCAGCTCACATACCTAGTAGGTACATTCACGAATGTCCCTCCCTAACAATATACTTACATTACACCGGATATCATAGTACATAGCGCGCCGGTAGCAGTACGCGTGGCCGCTGCGCGCAGTCTAGGAGGGTTGGCCGTCCCATTGGAAAGTCCCTTAAAAAGGGGAATACCTGGTGATAAGTGACCCAAAATCAGCTATGGTATCTTATAGGCAAACTCGAGGCATAACAACTCTCTGGGTCGCGGAAAGGGGTGATCTAACCTCGAAATGGGTTTATAATTAATAACGTGATGTAAACCTATACCGTTATTGTCAGCCTTAACTCGAAGCGTCCGGGGTAATACTCAGGCTCTACTATACGTTAGCCACGATGCTGAGTACTATAAGAGGCACCAGCCCCGGGTTTTGTATTCCAATGATGCAGTGTCCATTTTCCATGCGGACCATACGGCTAAGGATCGGCACATAGAATCGTTAGCGAAATGATTCGTCTGCTTACGTGGCGACGTTTCCTGCTCTTAACCTACTAGAAGAAACTTAAGCCGCCCACGACCATGTATAGTGCTACGAATGAGTTAGCTGCTGATAGTCATCTGGAGATATAGTGGACCATATAGGACTTACTCATTATACCGAACGAGTTGAAAATGTATAGCTTAGACTCGAGTCTCCGTTTCGTGCCGCCTCGGATGATGAACTGATATTTATTAGCATAATCTCACCCTCAGTGAGTTGGAATGGGATTAGTGTTAGGGAGCACATACCGCCTTTTCGACGAGAAACAAATAGATACACTATTCGAGTAAAAACGTAAGCTCATAACACCCCTATCCAAAAGTATTAGGCCGGAATGCTCACAATCTAAGCGGATGTTAGTATAGTGATACAATACTAGGAAGTGATAAGGGTCAGAGAAGGGGTACTATACGAACTTTTGAGTTAGCGTAGCAGAATAGGCATATGAGGATCGCGGCCGAGCAGGCGCCTAGGCTCGAGTTGACTCCTATCCCATAGTTGACGATGGTCGACGCGAACACGAAACCCCATGAAACACCATAGATAGACAGGACCACTAACAATAGCAACGTTTACCTGTTAGTAAGCACTCTCTTAGGTCAAATGCTTGGCGATTAGAGGAGTTCGTTTAGCTTACCCCAGGCGACAAATGGTAGACGCCACCATTTTGCAACAAGTATTCGTTGTACTATCGTCCTCGTTAGCGCATTCGCTTCTTCACATGCACAGGCAGAAATCATCGGTTACGGACCAAGCAAGTACGATAGAACGGAGCCAGCGCTGAAGGTGAGGATCGCGCTGAAGACAAACCCGACATCATACTCGAGGTGTCGGGTCGATAGTGCGACCCCATTGTCTCGGAGAGACAGAATGGAGGCCATATCGAAATTCACTTCCTAGCCTATATTCTTGCCTCCTAACACATCGCGCGCAGTTTCTTTGGTTTGTGTTTCTTTTCTTGGGACACCGGGAAAGAAAGGACGTGGCGCGGGAAAGGACAGACACGAGGAGAAAAGGAAGAGAATAGAAAGAGGGCCAATAATGCTCACGGGGGGTGTGTGATCGGGCTAGTAAAGTAAGCTGTGTCTACCTTTACTCTGCCGAAGGAACATCTACCCAAGGTTCATCTAGTCGAATGGATGGGTGTGTATGCGGTGTCTGTGTCCCAAAGAGTAGGTAACTTCAGCCCCAAGTTTGTCCACCCATTTTAAGATCCCATGATCAATCTCACGCTTTCCAAACGGATGGCGGACGCTATTTCGGATGAGTAACCGGATACTTTAAGGTTGGTCGTAACACCTTAAGATGAATACATCTTGGCCAACCCGACGCGGAGTCATCCAAAGACACAACACTGGAGTCATAAAAAGAGATGGTGCCTGGAGATTGCCTATCCTGATGTTAGTAGAGTCCGCGGGAGGTGTTTCGCATTGGCGTTCTAGTATAGGCGCTTTACCTACTTGCCTGTTCGCGACCTCATATCCTGCCGACCTTTTCCGGGCCCGGCCCAGCCTAGCATCTCTGCTAGACCTACATCCGAGAAAAGTTCGACGACGTTGAACAATAGAGGCCATCCACTTTTAGGTTCTCCGATCTTACATACCTAGGTATGTGCACTGGCCGGGCACTTCATCTCTCCCCTTCTAGTCTAGTAAGAATGAGATGGCGGCAATAGGGGGAGCTCATTCAAACGGGGAAAGCACTTTTTAGGGATTTCGTGTTGTATAGTTGTAGTTGTAGTTGTAGTTGTAGTTGTAGTTGTAGTTGTAGTTGTAGTTGTAGTTGTAGTTGTAGTTGTAGTATAAATATTAACTTCATCTACACCAAGTAGGCATAGTAGTTATGCTTAAATTGTACTCATCATTATTCTATACATCTGATCTTCACACACCAAGTCCTCTCGGCCTATCGCGACTCATCCTCACACCATCCCAATGTCACCAATTTGATGCAACAAGATTGGGGAAAACAAGTGTGACCCATTTCAATATCTATCTCATTATTCCGACTGCATGATATGGGATGGTTTGCCCTAATGACTGTAATAAAGCTTGCCACCGTGTGTCCTGCCTAACGCCAGCTGAACCTCGAGACCCCGATGGCCCAAAAACCAGATAGCCTCGCACACATTAACGCCAACCAATGCGATTCCTTTCCATGACACCCTAAACACATTCCCTAATAACATCCGACGCCGTTCTATTTCAGGCATAGCATTTGACCCGTCCACTTCAAAACCATTATCTCATGTCCGTATTTAGCCACCGAACGCATTATTCGTCACCCATTTAGTAACTGATGGCTTCTACAAACCCAACCTATCAGCGTGTACATATACTCAAACTAGGCGTTGCCGGAACCCACAATCAGTTGGTAGATGGCGGCTCACTAGGCGGGTGAGCTCTTGTCCGGACGTGGAATTTCTCTCGTAGTCGGTCCGACAATTTAGCATGTCGTCTTTGGTCATCGACTGAAGCGTCCGCTTGTCCTTGTTGGGTTTGCCGATACTGTCGAAGAGCCTGAATACGCTCATCAACGGAGGCGTGTCTAAGCCTGTTCCAATCTAGAAGACGCGATAGTCGTCGTCTCTGTGCCATCTCTACTTCATCCCCATGCGGAGGAGCAAGTTGACCGCTGGTATGACCACCAGCCGCTTCCTGTGGAGCGATTTCGTACATATCTGTACCGTCATCATTTGGTGCCTCCTCCTCCTCCCGAGGACGAAGATCAAGTCGACTAGTTTACAGTTCATTAGCTTAGGATGGCTTGGAATACCTATGTTGTGGTGACTTACCATAAAGGACAGGTGCCAGACACATTGACTAGCCATGGATCGACACATTGTGGATGATATTTGTGGTTGCAAGGGAGGACTCTCACATCCTGTCCGACACTGAAGTCCTCTGTGCAGATAGAACAACCAAGATTGTTATCCTCCACTGGTTCGTTGTTCCCATTATTATTATCCGATGCAACAGCAGCTACAGCAGCATCAGGGGTAGCAGAATTTTGAGGGTTCTCGCCTTGTCCGATGCTAGCCGGTGTCAAGTCAGGCTGCGTCAGAGATTTTATGGGCTGTCTGTCCCCCGATATACTATCCAGCTCATTCTCCGGGTCCGGTTTAGCCGTTGGCCGAGGATCAGGATCTCCAAATTTGACGATGGGAAGCGTCTCAAGAACAGCTCGTGCGAGACCTCTGGCCCGACTCTGTCTTGGTCTTCCGCCGAAACCGGCTCTAGGACCGTATCGTTCAGGATGGCGATGTGCCCGAATTGCACCGGTAGCAATGATGAGGAGGAAAAGCAGAGTGATTAGACCCGTGATACTATATAAGATGCTCATAGCCACGGCCGAACTACTCCCGCCTTGAGATCGAGTGCCGTTCATTGCATCAGTGCCTTCTGTCGGAATTATGACACGAACCCCACCGGCCAAAGTCAGGTTCCTGGTTTCCCCAGCTTCGTCTGGATTGGTCATGGTCCAAATCTCTCTGAACGCCAGGTCGGATCCCACAAGTGAACAATAGGTTCCTGCAGTGCTAAAAAGCAAAATTGCCCTTGGACTTGGTTTTCTGTTCATAACAGAATTGAGCACGTCGCTGGGAGTGATGTAGGTATTATCGGTAGTAGAGTCGCAAGTAATGTAGGCAATATTATCCTCTAGGCTGATCTCGTTATAGTTGGTTTGGTCAACAATCACCATGTCTGCTCGCATACGAACACTCTGTGAGGCATATTAGCTATTATGCAGTAACACAATTAGGGCTTCATACACTCAGGTCACCCCCATTGGTCTGATTGAGTCCAGTTTCGGCCGTCAAAGGTGCAATTCTATAATCGACATGGACTGGAGCAACATCACTGTCCAGAGAAAGTGACATGGCGGATTGCTGCAGATAGTCAGGTAAGTTGCCCTGTACAGTACTCGTGGTGGCATCTTCGGCGGATGCGACGGAAAGAATAGAGGCAAGGCCAAGAATAAAGTACGCCATACTGGCGATATTGGAGATGGTCGATATCGCCATTTTCAGGCGGTTGCGGACTTTCACACGATGGGCCAGCCGTTGTGGGAGAGGAAGGTTAAAGACGGGACAGACGGGACAGAAGGTGGTAGACGAAACTAAGCCGATAGAGAGGAATCGACTGGATTCTTTGTACAAGTTGTATGAGGGACGGCCCTAACTAGCGCCACTCATTGAAAGTTGATATCGCATATTATCATCGTCCTACTTTACAGAAACCATACATAGGCCAGACATTTTCTTGATTAACTTGCAGTGTTTCTTCTTCTTCTTGATCGACAATAAGCGATTGGCGCCGCGGGGAGTATGAATCCGATGTTATGAGTATGTTATGAGTGGGTATGAGGATATTCGGGGAGGGGGGTCGGTTGCGGCTTGCGTCGTGTTGTGATGCGTTACTTCGTCGGACAACGGGCGCGGAAGGGGAAAGGGAAAGTGAAGGAGGAAGAGAGTTGTTGTATGGTGGTTAGTAAGGAAGTAGGTACTAGGCAGGTAAGTTTGAATCCACATGCAGTTGGTGAATCCAGTCGGTGGTTTGATTCGAGGTGACAAGTACGACCTGAACTGCGACGGGTGGGATGTGGGGAAAGAGCGTTCTTTAGATTGAGTACTTATCTCTAGTATGGTAGATCTACCAAAGCCCCAAGTACCTCCCTTGCTGTTTCACATGTAGGATTTACAAGTATAGTAGTAACATACGTAATACGCATTAGATAGCATGCCAAGATCGGATTTGTGAAGGAACTCCACCGAGAAAAGCCTCAGGAATTCCGGGGATCCTTATGGTACATCTAGTGTACTAACCTAGGTATCTACTATCTACATATGTAGTGTATCTTAAGGATTAACATGATTACTTACATATACCCATCTTTATATCTTGGATGCACAAAATGAAATTAAATAATGTAGTACATATTAGTATATATGGTATCTTCTATCTATTTAACACTTAACTAAGTGTAAAAAACAAAACAGGTAGGAAGAAAGAAAGAAGAAGAAAAAAGGACTGATCTAACTAACTAGCTGGGTGGTACTTGATGCATGCAACATAGTAGATATTCCGAGACGGGCATCGTTTTAGCGCCATCATTCCTTTACTACGTAACTCAACGGTAGCTTGGCTCAACATCTCTAACAGTAGATCCCCCCATGCATAGCCATGAGCCATCTTACGTGTTGTGTATTACTATACATTGAAGAACAAGAGCCTTGATACGGAGTATAGTTAAGCCATTTTAGCCAAGCTTTTCTCAAGTTGCCATGTCATACATACATATATACATACATAGATGCCCATTGCATCATTATCAACAAGATCAGTGTCCAAACTTCAATTGGAGGATAATATGTACCTAATAGGTACAATAGCAGGTACAATAGCAGGTGCAGCATTATCAATGATCTAAATCTGGCAACTCGGGCTGTTCGGCTAGCTACTGCCCCCGCTATATAAACTCCTTCTCCATATTATTTCCGATTCTGTGACTTTTGAGGCATGTGGTTGGTTGACTCGTTTAAATGCGATTAAATGCGTTTAAATGCGAACTCTTCAACTTCTTATAGTGATTTTGGACTATAAGACGGCTGGCTTACTCACGATATATAGGACAATGTAATTGCTAGGTAGTCAATCAGTGATCTATAGTCGTTCAGCAGCTCAAGAAGAATTGGATTATTAATACAGAAAGAAAACCATTTCTATTCCCTCACGGAAACACGGATATGTGAATCTCAAACACCTTCTAACCCTAGTCTGCTAAAATCAAACTACTGGGCTACGTACTATTACTAACCTAGTAACTAGTAACTATTGTACTAGATTCACCATAGCACGGCCCTTACCTAACCTAGTACCAGGCATCTTCAAACACTGATACTACAATTCTCCTCAATGCGATCAACAATAACCTACAGTACATACTATGGTAGGTCTCAACTACTGTACAATATAAAACTCGCCCTATTCGCTTTCACCGCCCTTTGGGTTGGGTTTGATACAATATATGTGACGACATCAAATAGCATGGGAAATAATGGGCGGTTGTTGGCCCGTGGATGAGCCTCATTCCTGACAAAAACCCTGTTTTAATAAAGTCGACCAAGTGCCGACTCAAGATCGACTTGGGCAATAACTACATGGTCATTTGAATGCTACATACGTACAGTGGAATTGGTTCATCAGATGTCTGCCTACACATGTAAATTAGATTATATGAAAGCATGTGTATTATGTGTTACTTAACTAACCTGAGTTACCTATCAAGTCAAAGAGCACAACTCAAAAATTAAAAACTCAGCTGTTACTACGCAATGAACGCTCATATTAATGGCCTAATACGTATATTCGTAAATGGCCTTTGTGCAACTCTTGTGGTACACCTGTGCCACGAAGTCTTCTGCGTGGGTTGACTAGAAGACATATCACCTTCCTATATAGTTCGTACTGATGAAAACTGCTGTTTCCTTAACACAGCATTGCCCATGTGATACTGTGGCTTCTGGCTTCTCGGTATTCTCGGAACTACCGTAATACCCAAGTATGTACGATTCAAGCTGCTAGCATATGTAGATGTGTGTTTATGCAAATGTACGATCTACCCGTGGCCCAGGTTTACTTCAAGATCTACTGTATACCCTAAGCCAAACCTAAAATCCCGAAGGTACTACATGTAGTGAACCCCCGGAATCTAACACCCGTAGTACCAAAGAGTCTAGAGAAGCATGATTTCAGATTATACCTGCTCGATCTGGGTAATATTCACGTGTGACCGAACGCGAAGGTTGCCCATGTGGTAGCAGGACAAGAATGTCTTAACAACGGCATGAACACGCCATGCGGTTCAAGACAAGGGGTTAGTAATTCCGTTATGGCGTTAAACCTAGTAAAGATCACGATCATTATTGCAGTTTGTTCTTGCGTCTCCAATCAAAATGGTTATAAAGTAATCATGCCTTGAAATCCTTTGTCACATTCTCTTGGGGATAGGCTCTTAGAATTCGTTGTTCTTGCCTTGGTAGCCATGAGCCCTTGGTTGTGAGGAAGAAGGGAAAAGTCCGACGAGTCCTGGTTGGCTAGCAAGTCTGCGTGTTGGTGTTGTCGAAGCAAGGAGAATAATTATACGTTACCTAAGTATGTTGCTCAAGTAGGCAATCATGCGGATGACTACCATGTGGGTACCTAATAGGTATACCAACATTAAAGCCCACCATCCTCACTATTTAACACCTATAGCAGGCCGTGTGCCCAGTAGCACCTGGGATACATCTAGGGGCCAAATACTAATGTAGTGCTGTAAATGAAAAGATATAAGGGGTATTCTAAAGTCTGTAAGTTTTCTTGTCTCATAGTAACATCCATGGATGCCTTCCATGGTTGAGAATGACTTAGATTTTCTATGAGATACAAACTTGATGGTGGACTGATCAGATCATATCTCTTCCATGTCTTCCAGGTCATCTAGCATAGGCCATTCGCCTACCTCCACCCTTTCTGGTCTGACAAAGACACCGTGTTTGAGCGCTGATTCGGTGCCCCAGTATCTAGTACTTCCAATACTACCATCATTCTTTCCCACCGGTTCGTCAAGATGTACCCCAACCCAAGCACCTATAGAGCCAGGGATCTCCTTGACTTCACCGACGTACTTGATTTCTCCCCTGCGAGCATCATTGCCACCAACCCTGCACCTTTTCCCTACCTCTATTCCCCTGCTTTTAACATCGAAATTGAAGGCATCGATCTTGGCTTTTTCCAAGCTGGGAGCATCCGGATTGAACCGGCCTAATTTTTCAGCCTTCTTCCAAGCCAAGACTGAGTCAGATTTCTTCTCGTACTCCTCTGCGGGCATGACATATTTCTCGACACCAGAGGTATCATTCAAATTCAACCTGAGGCTAGCTGGCCGAGTGTCGACGATCTTGGAAACCTGGTCAGTTACTCATCACTCACTGCGTATCGTTGTAACTCCAGGATGCATGTAGACATCTCCTGGTTATTCATGATGATGACACGTATGCACAACGAGCAATAAACCAACGGCAATGGCTTTCTAGGTATTTGGGCTGTATGATGTATGTACGAGAATCGGCGTGCTTACATGCAGCTCTGCATAGGCAGACAAGGGGAAATTTGATAGGAGTACGGTGTCTTCATCGGCAGCCTCGACAGCTATAGTCTCCTTGGTAGCGGTCTTTAAGCTGATACGCTGAGAAGACGGGGGAATGCCCGTGACGGGCTCAAGTTTTCTTCTCAGTTGGGTAATCGACCATGATGGAGTAATTCTCCTCTCCGAAACCGAATTCTCGGATATGACTTGCAATGGGATATCCGCCATTGCTCACCTGAATTTTGTGTCACTGGTCTGTGGAAAATGAGAATACCAAAAAGGCGTATTGAGGTCGGCGATCGGTAGCTTTCGATCGGACTACATACGTTCCTAAGCTGAGTACCTGTGATGAAATGTGGCGTCCTGTAGGTGTGAGGCTCTCGAACGTGTCCCACCAGAACGGCGGACTGGGACCCCTGGTAAACGAACGGGAATAGGGAAACAATACTCGGGCCGCACAATGAAGATGCCGGCTAAGCTTCCTGGTACCGGGTATGAAATGCGTTTGAGAACACGAGAATGTTGGGCAGTAGATGCATGCAATGACGATTTACAATAAAATAAAAATCTTGTTGCGTACGCGTGTTATGCGTATTGTATATGGTTGTATATGTGGAAAACGTGCAAGAGCGGAGATGTAGTTGGAGAAAGATGGCTTGAAAATAGAAGTTCCAGATCCTTGCTTTTGCAATTTACCCTAGTTAGGTACTATGTATTGTACAATACAAGTACGTTGCACTGCTAGGGTGATGTCAACTTGGGTAGCAAGGGGGTGTCCTGTATTGTACTTGTACAATACATAGCCCTGGAGTCTGGAGTACTACGGTACTACAGTAGGCATGTAGCAGGGCGCATCAGGGGAACGGCAACTAAGGTTCCGCCACAGTTTTCAATGTTCACTACCTATGCAAGCCACAGATAGGTACATACTACATACTAGGTATGAAGGTAACTACAATAAAGTTTGGTACGCGACAAAACTTGTCACCTGCATTCAAAGGTTATAAGGGATGCGCCCCAATGCAACTTCCTAACTCCCCACGAACTGAAAGTCTGCACCATTACATCTTGTAGGCAGCTACCTAGTAGGTACTGTACCTTACCTATCCTCCTACATCATATTATCCTCCAGGGCTACATCTTATCATACATAATACCGGTACTATTACATTGCATGCACATGTGTATCCTTCACACCTCACCTCACCTTACCTTACCTATATGCACTGCATCGTCTTCTTCACAATCGCGATCTCACCCGTACAACCGGCATGCACATCCACCTAATTCCTAATTCGATGAATCAACAATGAATCCAATGAAGGATAGCTCCCACCTAATGCAGTACGCCCATAGCATGGTTCGCACATATGCCATATATGAGGCTATCGTGAAATGCCAATTCATCCCCCCACGGCGGCCACTGACGTTTGTGTCCAGCTACCTAGCCCCCGAGATCCAATGATACAATAGCTTGTCACGTAGGACAACCCAGGTGTAACGATTCTAGGTTAAGGGACCAACTATTTGGAAGCACTCCGTTTGCATCATTTGTCCCTGAAGATCCAACTCATCGGGTATCACGACAGGCTTTCCGGCAGCATCGAGGCATCTGGCTCCATCGAGCATCGAGCGTCTGCAGCTGAATTGGTATTTCATCCACAGAAAAACAGCATGGATATGATACGTGATTTCATCATCATTGTCACCTTTCAGCCCCCCACGTATAATCAATTGCTTTCGACACCTCGATAATGACGGTAGTCGGCCGGCGATCCTCAAACAGATCTGACATCCTATTTAGGTCGAGATGCCCACGTTCAGCCGCTCTATGGGCTGCGGGCTGCGGGCTGCGCGGGGAAGACGGGAGCTGTGATCCAGAAACCGAGGACCGAACAAACAGAAGTATTTATGGCGTATTCGGAATCTTGGATATCACAGTTTTCGAGCTGACAGGTCATATATCGGTTTTTCCTGCGCCACCCGAGCCTAGACTGACAGCCTAACGCACTTGTATTGTCCTGCACGTCTTCTCTCTCCGCTCACATCGCAACCCTATAGTATCATATGGCCTCATTGCATCTTATACTCAGTATACAGAGACTTGTTGGGTTAAGAGTGCTGAGCGAACACATCTAGGGGTAAGATTCGTTTGATTGCGTTACCTTTACTTGCCCCCGAGGTGATATATTCAATGAACACGAGTGGCGTGGATTCATCGTGGAGGTAAATATGCGTTGTTCTTGCCGGCATCCCCCGACGTCTATGGCATTGTTCACCGCTTCCTCTCGGGCGGACAGCCTGTCGGCTGTTAGAAAAAGGACCCAACAATAAGATGCAGCTTTATGTACTCTCCTTGTTTGAATAAAGTTTAGCACACCATGGCATGTTGCTTCACATCAATTTGATGAAGCAAGAGTGCTAGCCTTCCCATCGGGACCAAGTTCATTCATCGGGCAGCACCAGGGCTTTTATCATATCCCACCACGGCAATTATGTTACGAAGATATGTTGCGCCCGAGATCTCTTGGCGTCTGTCCCAAAGCCTCTTCTACAGTAGCTGTTGTACGAAGTACACCTAATAATAGCCGAACATATGGAACGAAGTCACGGCTCAAGCTAACCATGAATTAGCCGGTGGTGTGTCCACAAGAATAAACAACAAATAATTAAAACAGGTCAGCCCGTCAATGCAAAGCCAGCACAGCTTTTAAAGGGAGTCGGGCTAAGACGAGCTTGGAGTACAAATAGGTACCAAGACCTGACTCGTGGCTGGGTACATGTATGTAGGTAAGTATGTAGCTTACTTACATGTAGGTTATCGCGAAAATTCAACATCCCAACGAGGTATAAAGATTATCAAACAATATTGGTGGTGGCTGGATTTGGTTTGGGGGCTGATGAGCCCAACTAGACGGTCCCAGGATTGACTGGCTTATCGGATTTCTGACAATCTGGTTCGATCACAATCTAGGCCAAATGAAGTAGAAGATACATACATTGGGTACATACGCCTCACTTGACTTCCAACGTTGCACGTTGGGCAGTTCATCAAAGCATCCAAACACAGCCACTTTCGTACACGCCTTGCGTCGACTTACGACTACACATGTGGTTCACGATACGAGCGAGAGTAACGAACTTCAGGGGTTTCGAGGCTCTTCAAAGACCCATCGATGTCTAGATTTCGACCTATTCGCCTCCTCGTGTCATTTGCAGGTATGTGACGGCGATACAATGGATCGTACACATACTTTTAGAAATGTACTAGGCAGCTATGTAGGTGGGAAAGACTTTGTATCCAGTCTATCATAAGCCCTAGCAGGGCTATAGCGCGCTTCTTGTTAATTGATTAACAAACAGAGAGCAGAAAAAGAAAGAGAAAAATGGAATTGCTCCGCACGTTCGGGCAGCAACAGTCAAACGAGCCGGTAGGCGATCGATTTCTCCTCATCCACACCTCATCCCCCCACGCATTCAGTGTTTCCACCTGTATGGTGATGGTGTGAATATGTACAAGTGCAACTACATCAGCCATAATGACAGCAAGAATACAAATGCTATCCCCTCGAGACCCAACACCGGGCTTTTTAGCGCCCCCCACTAAAACCTCACACGGGCCAGGCTCGCTACCAGCTTTTTACCATCGACTATGTACCGGTTCAAATAATAGGCGCGTTTTTACGTGTAGCAGCAACGCGTGGTACTTAATTTTTTGGTCTCGTTTGTACTCATCCTTCAACGCTCGAGAAACCTTATTAACGACGACACCGACGGCGATGGGTTTAATAATAACGATATGTTGCTTATTTGTTTTAATATATTTAAGATGGCGATAGGGGAGCCAGCTAAATCGAACATAAGTTGTTAATTTACTGTAAGTAGTTCTTTATGAAAGGTATGTAACTATTAATAAGAGTGGTATGCCTTATATTCAAAGAAAGACGCGTACAAGTATCAAAAGTTTAATTGATTTTTCTCTTAGAAGTAGTGTACAAAATGTTCAAAATAAGCTCAGATAAATATATGGAGAGTAGGTCCAAGCTCTTGTATTTTATTCGCCAGCGAGGCTCAAAATATGGGGGGCGCTAAAAAGCCCGGTGTTGGGTCTCGAGGGGATAAGTGACGAACTGCCATCTTTTCCGACTACACATTACAGGTCAGGTAATAGTATGTATAAGTAAGTATATTGAGCAAATAAGTAGTGTGTGCGATCCTTTTCTTTACATATGTACGTACATGTATTCGATGTTCTTCTCTTCTGTGCTACCTACCTACATGTAGGTATGTATGTACGTACAAAGTAGTAGGCAAGGTAATTGCAACAGCTTGCAGCAATCAGATGCCGCTAGTTACGCTACCCACAACACTCGCATATGTACATGTATTATGTAGGCGTGTGTAGGCATGTAGGCATGCTGGTGTATGCAGTTGAGGAGTGCGGTATAATGCCATTATCTTCTTTTTTCTCCTTGGTTCTTCTCTACTACCACCCCCCCTCTAGTTAATTAGGTACCTAGCTGATATCACCTCTCTAGAGTCTAGATAGACCCTGAACTGTTTTAAGTGCCCAGGTGTTGTGCACGCGATCTGTCATCACCCTCTCAAAACCCAAGCTTACCCTCCCGTCCTATTTTCCCCCTTCTTTTTTTTCCAAGAAAGGAACTAACAGGGGTCATAATCCTATCAGGTCGCTGGATACCGGTAGGGCAAACAAACAAAACAACGCACTTGATGTGGCGTAAAACCTTGACAAGCATAAGCATCATGTACGAAGATGGGCCCAAACCAACTTTTCCTAATTATTGTGATGCAACGCAAGTAAAGTCGATCATGGTTCATGGCTTTCTTCTTTTTCTTTCCTTCCTTCCTACTATGCATGCTATTAAAAACAGACACTAAAAGCTGAAGTTCGGTACCGCCTTACGTACATATCTGTATTGTACTTGCGGACTGACGTGTTGTGCGTGGACGAAAGGAATAAGTAAAGGAAAATAAAAATATGGGAAACAAGGGAAATAAAAGGAAGAGCGACATACTTACTCACATGACTACATACATACATATGTCCTGCCAACCTCTATATGTGGTACATAGTAGATATATCTACCAGACCTGCCTACATATAGTATGTACTTTACCTAGCATCTAGGCTGGGGTATATACCTACACCTACACCTACACTTACATTATACACACATACCTACATATGTATGGCGGACAGATAAATAGGTATGTATTTGTTTAGCTCCCTACCAGGTACTCCTGTCGCACGTCGTCATCTTCCTAAGTAGGACATCTAGAATGGATGCTCGAATAAGTAATATAGGTAGGTCCTGTAGCTACCAAACCTGTTACGCATGCCTGCTGACCGCCAGTTCATCGGCCCCAGCTGGGGTTGTTCCCGGAGCCCCAGATGCATTCGTTCGTGACCTACTGACTGATTGATTAAAAGTTGGGTTATGACTATGACGACCTGAGATGTACCTACACTTATATTAGCACTCACACTTTGAAGATGCCGTTAATGAGAACCAGACGAACCAGGAAACATAAAACACTATTCCTTATTACAGGCCGATGTATGATCTACCACGATCAATGATCATATGAGACGAACCAGAGCCGATGGTAATATGCTCATCAAAGCGTGAATAGCGCACAGACGTTAGGCTTTATCTGCAACGTGCGTTGAAGAGAGCCCCATTTCCCGTGTCCGAGGGACAAGGGGATTTTTTTATAAAAAAAAAGTGGACATTTGTCTTTCTTTTTTTCCTTTTCCTTTTTCTTTTTCTCTCTTCAATGTTCAAGGTTCTTTTTTCTTTTGTTCTTTTTTGTTAGCGCAGTTCCTGTACTTACTT